AGATTTGAATCTGGTGACTCATGAAGGTTTCTGATGACTGAAAAAAAAAAAAAAATTAGTATTTTATCTAAAGGAAACATAAGGAGGCAGATTTGGGGGTCCACAGGCTGCTCAGCCTCATTTGAGATTCTGAAAAGATTATGGAGCCTTTCCAAACACGTGAAAGAGAAGAACATAGCTGAGCACAGTCAGTGTGGAGTTACCAACCTCAGCTCAAGCTCAACTGACCTGTTTGTCTTCTGGCAGAAGTGGCTGATTCTTTGATGGTACCGAGGCTGATATGCAATATATCAAAGATCCAGATGGTGAAACAGAAACGTGTCCTCAGCAGATTTCTGGATGATACCAAGTGCTGAGTGAACGTTGTAAGTGGTAGAGATTCGAGTCCAGAAGTATCTTGGGAAACCTGAGGCTGGGACCAGGAGGAATATCAGAAGTTCAGCAAGGAGATGTGCAATGTTCTGATGAAATGGTCTTCGTAGTCACAGGGGATGCCAAGTTTGGTGACATCCAAGAGTGCATCCTCACTGGGAATAAGGGACAGCTCTTCTTGATACTGGATATTACAGAGTGTTGTGCAGACCTGTGTGAAGGCAAAAATGTTTGGTCATTTTAAAGTTCTCAAACACATTTCATCTGCTTCCTCCAAACGTGCAGAAATCACACTGGGTCTACTGCTTGATAGTATTGCATTGCTAATGGGAGATGAGAAACACGAGTGTGTTTGGTTTCACTGGCCATGAGAGGTGGTTGACAGGTCTCCACGTTATCTTAGTCTTTGGCAGATCCATGCTTTCATTATTCCCTCTTTATTCTCTCCCACACAACTGAGTTATTTGAAGCGGTTCTTTCTCCTCTTCCAGAAGCTTTCCCATGGAATGTTTTAGATCCCTGCCAACTGTGCCTTTCATGTGAGGCTGCAAAGGAGGTTGTGACAGATTGGGTTGCAGTTTCATCAATATGCTGCTAATACTCATTTTTACGTCTCCCCTTCACGGAACACAGATGGTCAGGTTTTTTGGATTATTAGTGTGTCACTGAAGTCGGGTTTTGGCTAAGAGCTTGTTGGCTGAAACTCCTCCTAACTGAAGCAGATGACACTGGTTGACTAAGGGAAAAAGATGAGAAGGTGGGAATTTGTTTCTTCAAGAAGGCGTGGCTGCATTTTGTGATTAAGACAAAGGGTGCTTGGCTTAGATTGTTGCTTTTGCCTTTCGGACATGGCGAAGAGGCATCCAATCATAATTCCTAATGTTCATTTAAAATGCAACTTTCTGCTTTTATTTTACTGATGAGACACTGGCTTTAGCTGATGGCATCAACTGTCATTTTTGTGGCTCTGCCTTTGGATGTGTTGAGTTCCAGTTACCAAGGGTGTATCTGTGATGTGGCACGTCCCTTCCTCTGTTTGGTGTTCTGCAAAGAACACATTATATGGAGCCTCTTGCGAAGAACATCACCTCTCAGAATGGGTTTTACTTCTGTTTGGAGTCCTAAAACCAGCTTTGTTTGCATCTGTGTATCCCAGTTTCCTGTTCTCTTGAGCGAGAACAGACAGAATTCTGAAGATACAGTTTGTAGATTGAGTTGCTGTCATTCATCTTCTGCTTGGCATATTAGTTGCTTTCCCATTTAAGAAATAATAATTTCCATTGCTTAGTTGCTGCATGGCAGGCAACAGTGTTTGTATCCACTTTGCAGTGAGATGTTCTGGGTGACATTGTTTTTGGGAGAACTTAATTCTGTGCCTACAAGTCTCAAGCAAATACCTGGGGTCTTGGAACTAAAATTTAAAAGAGAGATGAAGTTGTATAAAAAACTTTTTAAGCCCAAGATATTATTTAGGTTTTGAAAACATTTCTGACTTCATAAAGGGGTATCCAATTCCATTCACTGGAGCTACACATCAAGAACTCCACCCATGTGCGCATAGAAATCATCAATTTTTATGCAAACTCGCCTAAATTTTCAACATTATTAGACAAAGTAGTTATTTAATTTGCAAAATATTCCTTGGCAAGCCTTGTCTGGTTTCTGTGGTGATTTTTTTGGTGATATTTTTAAAAACTGATATAGAACATGCACAATTATGAAGACTTTTAAGAAAACTCCTTTTAGTTCCAAATTATGGTTTTCTGGTCTTGTTTATTCTCCTCACCCTTCCTTTAAAGAAAATATAAATGGTTAGAAAAGACCATCGTTTTTCTCGATTTCTGAAAGTCGCTTTAAAGAAATTTTTTACTTTTTCAAAACCATTATTCAACAATCTGAAGAATCATAGGCTGGCATTTGTATTTATGGTGGCCATGTTTTTAAATCTTGATGATAACTCTTCTTCCAAGGGATCAAGTCCTGTAATTCCTGAATGCTGTGGAGCAAGGTAAAATCTCTGAAACCCAGTCTTTGGAAAAGAGTCAGGAGGAACATGATTTTCTTACCCTGCAGATATAAACCATGGTTTTGGATGTTCTGCCTAATATGACAAAGACCTTTTTCTTCACCCTGGTCTCCTAAAGAAGATTGATGGACTATTGGGTCAGATTTCTTTGAAAAGATTTCTTTCATAAGTTAACTTATTGACATTCTCAAAACTTATTCCTGTGCATCCTCTGATAGTGACACTTAGATTTTGACATCCACATCCTCTCTTGCAGAAACCTTGGGTTCCCTGCGACATTTTTTCCTAGCAGAACTTGGCATTGATGTATTGCAAATGATTGGTTATCCCACTATCCCATTCCTCTTGGTTTCAAGAATCCATCATTAGCAAGTCCTTGTTTGTCTGAAAATCCGTGGCCAGCTCAGCATTTATCTGCTCTGTCTATATTTAAGAGAAGATAATTGCTGCCAGACTCCTTGTAAGGGCTCATCATGTTTTTTTAGGCGGTCGGTTCTGGGATCGTTAGCGGTGGCTCTGCTGATGAAAGCTGAATGCTCCATTGTGAGGGAAAGGAGCTGCTTCAGAAAGCTCTGACTCATAAGTATAAGGCACTAATTTTTACAGCCTGAACAAAAGGACATCCATCTTTTTTCTTGATGAAAGAGCAGCCAGGAATACCCTGTCTACTCGAAAGTGCTGTGTAAGCAGATCAGTGCAAAAAGTATTTGTTTTGCCAAGGTGAAAGTAATCTGACATATGGCAACAGTATTTCTTTAAGCAGACAGAAGTTTCCACAGGTTAGAGAAAGTAGACCTGTCCAACATCTTTGACCAAAAATTATCCCACTCCAGATATCTCATGGATTCCTTGTGTCCTGTCATGTTACCCTCCTAGTGGATGCTGAAAGTTTTTTTGATCTCCATTAGAAGGACGACAATTGGGAGATCTCTTTGATTTGTTTAAAGAAGGCTTTCTCCACTTCTGGGTCAATCTGTCTGTGTTAGAAAGCCACAGAATGGGTCAGGTTGGAAGGGACCACAGTGGGTCATCTGATCTAATCCCTCTGCTCCAGCAGGGCCATGGCAGAGCACATGGCACAGGATTGTGTCCAGATGGTTCTGGAATATCTCCAGTGAGGGAGACTCCACTCCCTCTCTGGGCAACCTGTTCCAGTGCTCAGTCACTGCACAGGAAAGAAGTTCTTCCTCATGTTCAGATGGAGCTTCCTGTGCATCAGTTTCTGCCCGTTCCTCTTGTCCTATTGCTCAGCCCCACCGAGCAGAGCCTGGTCCATCCTCTGACACCTCCTTCAGAAAATGATAGACGTGGATAATGGCCCCTCTCAAATGTCTCTTCTTGAGGCTGAACAGGCCCAGCTCCCTCAGCCTTTCCTCATAAGAGAAATGCTCCAGTCCTTTAACAATAGTTTGTTGTCCTCCCCTGGAGCTGCTCCAGGAGCTGCTTGTCCTGGGAAATCTGGGAAAGGTCTCTTGAGCCATTTTCTACCCTTAAGGGAGAGGAAGATTTGTAAAGGCTCGTGGTTGAAAGGATCGTTGAAAGTCAGAGAGTCTGCAAAGGGGTTTTATTTTAAAGCTTTATTAGTAAATCAAACACTTGGCATGGAAATGGTTATGTTAGTCCCTGACCTACAATATAAGCTCGTGGCAGGGGATTTGGATAAAGGGGTAGGGTGAAAGGGAGAGAGAGGAGAGATGAAGTAGAGAAAGAGGGAGAAAGAGAAAGGGAAAGGAAGAAAGAAAGAGAGAAAGAAAGAAAGAAAAAGGAAGGAAGGAAGTCCCAGATGTCTGTCCCAGGAAAGTGCTGCCCTGTTTCCACCCAGACCCGCTTTGCAAGCCACATCTTGTTCTTTCTCACAGCGTGTTAATACCCACAGTCTTTGGTTATTGCCAACAATTCTTGTCTGTTCTTACCAACAGTCCTTGGCTGTTGGTAACACCACACCCATGTAGTTGTTGGTGTTTGAGACATGCACATTAGCCCCTTACCTTCTGAAAACTGAGAGCTCAAAGGCTCTCACTTCGGACTTCTGTTTATAGGGTCGCAAGGGAGTGGGCTTTGTTTATAGTAATTTTCCATCCTGGCCACAATTCCAGTTAGTAACTCTCTTTGAGGGTTTAATAACAACAATATTCTTTCACTTAGTTTGTTTTTCAAGGAAGAAAATTAAGTTTCTGAGGCTGTTTATTAAAAAGCAGGTGCTTGTTAGACCACTGTTAGTTCCTGGGAACAATGCTCCTGATAAGCCCACGTACAGTTCATCAAGGCCTAATGAGCATTTCCAGGTCGCAGTGGGGCCTTGGGATGGGCGGGGGGATGCACCACCACAATCCACCCTGTGGCTAAAGTCAGCTTTCCTGGGATTCTACGATGTGCTGCTGTAATCCTTCCTCAGCCGGCTGTCCTTGACCAGTGGGAGTGACGGGGTGGGTCCAGCAGCAGCAGGATGTCCCTGTGGCAGGTGGCTGCCTCTGGCCCCATCCATCCTGTACCCTCTGGGAACTGCACATCCTCAGGGTGAAGAGCCACCTTTGGGGATCCTCCTGCTGCTGGCAGCTGGGGTCACTCCTCTCCCTGTCCCCCGAGGCAGGGGAAGGAGAAAACCCAGCACAGAGCCCGACGGGCCATCCCGACAATGGAGCGCCGTGGCCGGGGAGCCGGGGAATGTGGGAGGGCTGAGGGACCTGTGGGGGAAGGAGGCAGGGGCTGGGCAGGCACTGGGCAAGGTTTGTCTTGCAGTGGGAGTAGCAACACACTCTCTGGGTCACTGTCCCCCTTCTCCTGCACAAGGAGCACAGGGACTTCTTCCTCCATCAGCTTTTCCAGTAGCTCCATTAGAACAGTGACCCAGTACACCCAGTCCTCAGAGACAGACTGCTGGTCTGCAGACAGGGCAGGAGACTCGTGCTCAGAGTAGTTTTCTGTCTCTGCTGTGGAGTCACTGGTCAAGCTGGGAGTGCTGGCCAGCACCTGGGGGCCTGCCAGTCGCATCTGCATGAAAATTGACAGATTGTCAAGGACGAAGGTGGTCTCAGTGAAACTTTCTTCCTCCAAGGAGGAGAGGATCTCTCTAAACAGGTCTTCATATGTTTTGTCATCATCCTCTTCCTCCAGCTCCCCCACCTCCTCTGTCTTGATATGCACAGGATGCTTCGCAGCATCCTCAGTGCCTGTGCACAGCACTGTGCCATGGGCGGGTTGTAAGGGTGACAAAGGAGTTTCCCTTTGACTCTCTCTACAGAAGCTCTCAGGTGACAGAGAAGCTAAGAAGCCTGAGCTTTCCTCAGACTCACTGTACTCTTCATCCCAGGTGTCTCCAGCCAGGGGAGAAGCTGCTGCCTCTGTCTCTTGTTCTTTGCAAGGGGCAAGCGATGCACTCTGTGCATGAATGTCCACCTCTCCTGCAGCCTCTGTGCCAGAGACCTCTTTCTCCTCCAGCTTTTCCAGTAACTCCTTTAGAACAGTGTCCCAGTACAGCCAGTCCTCAGAGACAGACTGCTGGTCTGCAAGCAGGGCAGGAGACTCATGCTCAGAGTGATTTTCTTTCTCTGCTGTAGAGTCGCTGGTCAAGTTGGGAGTGCTGGGCAGCACCTGGGGGCCTGCCACTGGCTCCTGCCTGAGACCTGACATATCATTGAGGATGCACTTGGCCTCAGGGGAACTTACTTTCTCCAAGGAGGAGAGGATCTCTCTAAACAGGTCTTCATATGTTTTGTCATCATCCTCTTCCTCCAGCTCCCCCACCTCCTCTGTCTTGGTATACACAGGATGCTTCCCAACATCCTCAGTGCCTGTGCCATGGGCGGGTCGTAAGGATGACAAAGGAGTTTCCCTTTGACTCTCTCTACAGAAGCTCTCAGGTGACAGAGAAGCTGAGGAGCCTGAGCTTTCCTCAGACTCACTGTACTCTTCATCCCAGGTCTCTCCAGACAGGGGAGAAGCTGCTGCCTCTGCCTCTTGTTCTTTGCAAGGGGCAAGCGATGCACTTTGTTGTGGGTCACTGTCCACCTCTCCTGCAGCCTCTGTGCCAGGGACCTCTTTCTCCTCATGCTCTTTCTGTAGCTCCTTTAGAACAGTGTCCCAGTACAGCCAGTCCTCGGAGACAGACTGTTGGTCCGCAAGCAGGGCATCAGACTTGTGCTCAGAGTAGTTTTCTGTCTCTGCTGTGGCATCACTGGTCAAGTTGGGAATGCTGGGCAGCACCTGGGGGCCTGCCACTGGCTCCTGCCTGAGACTTGCTTGATTGGGGGTGCAGGTGGTCTTGATGGAACTTTCTTCCTCCAGATGAGAGATGATGTCTCTAAACACGTATCCATAATTTTTTTCATCGTCCTCTTCCTCCAGGTGCTCGAGCTCCTCTGTCTTGGTAAGCAGCAGGTCCTTCCGAGCATCCGTGGCCTCTGTGCAGAGCGGTGAGCCACGTCCAGGTCCCAGGGGTGGCAGATGATGGCCTTGTCTTGCCACTGACCGTTCCCAGAGCCCTGCAGTTCTGCTCCCTGGGGAAGGTGTTTCCCAGGCCCTGTCAGCAGCCATGCTGCCCCTTCGAGCAGGTGGCACAAGCTCTTGGTGGCTGCTGGGCACAAGGCCCTCGGCACGTGCTCTGCCCCTCAGAGGAGACCCAGAGGCTGCTGCTGGCAGAGGGGACAGCCTGACATTTGCAGAGGCTGCTGCTGGAGTCTGAAGGGTGAGGCAGCGTGGAGTTGCCTGCGTTCCTTGAGGCCCTTGGAGGGAGGTGTGGACAAGCAAGGCTGGTGGGGATGCTCTTTCTGGCCATGTCACTGTCCTCCAGGGCGGTGACTCCCAACCCTCCAGCCTGTCCTGTGTGCAGAGGCTCTGATGGCTCTGTGACACTGCTGGTCTGGGCAGTGGTGACAGCCTGTTCCCAGCGAGGGACGAGCTGGTTGTCCTGGTGTGCCGCGGTGCTGCCGGGGGCTGCCTGTGGAGCCCCCGTGGGAAGCAGGAGGCGGCGCGGGATGGAGGCAGCTGCATCGGCACAACGACCTCCCCAAGCTGGAAAGCCTGGCCCTGGCACCAAGGCGGGTCCTGGCCATGGCAGCCCAGCTGAACTCGGAAATGCCGGGTGCCAGGCGTGACTGTCTGTCTGTTCCCACTCCAGCCTCTCCCTCCAGCCCCATCCCGCAGCGGTGGCAGCCTCACCGGGGGCTGGCAGTGGGCCTTCCCCTCCTTTGGCATCTTCAGGGTGCCCTGTTGAACATTTGCCACGGGCACCCAGGGGAGCACATCTCATGGGAGTGGCCACTTTAAGGCATTTGACCCCACCAGATCCCCCAGGGATCTGTGTCACAATGGCCTCTGGACACAGTGCCACCCCAGGTCACAAGGGCCTGCAGGGCACCGTGCAACTCGTCACAAAGTCCTGGTGGTCACGTTGGAAACACCCCTGGTCACAAAGTCCTGGTGGTCACGGTGGAAACAGCCCTTGTCACAGAGTCCTGGTGGTCACAGTGGAGATGCCATTGCCTTTGTCCTGGTGGTTCAGGGGGAAGCGCCCTGGACAGTCTTGGGAGTAGCTCCTTAGGCTGGGATTTGGGTTCTCCATCCTGCCGTTGTCTGTTGGAGCTCCTTGGTGGGCATGAGCTTTGTCCCAGGAGCCTCCTGGCAGTGACTGGAATTTTCTGTAAAGAAAGATGTTTTCTGACCTATTTACTAATAAGGGAAATTACAGCAGAAATGACTTTTTGCTTGCCCGTTCCTCCATTTGTGTGCTTTGCTCTACATGCAGCAGTGTTTGTTTGCATACATTGTTGGGAACAGAACAGTAGCACTTTTTTTTTTTGTTCCAAGAAGAGCTTGAGGGAGAAATGCCACGCTTGTCAGGGAATGAGAAATGTATTGAATAAAGGTTAATTACTCTGCGATTCACAAAATAGCTGAAAGCACAGATGAATGCACCATGAAGACTAACTTTAAAGCAGGATCAGAGTTGACCTTAAATGCTGCAAGGAATAGTGAAAATGCAGTTTTCCAGGCTAAGAATTAATAAGATAGCAGGGCTGTGGTTATTGTGCTGTATTTGAAAAGCTGCACTATCTTTTGTATGAAGAGTAGTATCTTTTGTGTCATATTTAAAAACTTTTTGTGTAGTAGCTGTTAGACAAGTATCACATCTGTAGCTATTTATTAACAGCATTATTAGGCTGTAAAATCTTAAAAGTTCTTTAATTATTTTTGCACTGATAGGTTTTGGTAATAAATTAATAAGCAAGAGAAGACAGTGTCCCAGCTCTAAATAAGCATTTATATCTTCAAACTACTCTGAGTGCTAGATCATTACCCCTTAAAGAATAAAATAATATTATTTTTTTAATGTTTGAGGAGAACAAAGTGCATGCTGGTTGTGGTGGTTGTATTAGTCATTCACATAGTGAAAGTTGCAGAACTGGTAGTTAATGTTATCAGTCACATCGGATTTTTCTGTTTCAAGTTGAGATTCATGAGATGCTTCTTGGTACTCGATGTTTCCTTGATCTCATGAATGTTCAGCATAGTAATATATTCAAAGGTTAAAACTTGAAAAACTGCAGATCTCCTCACAAACAGCAAATTACTGATGTGAGCCAGCATTATATAAAATGTTTCTCATTATACTTCACTCTGACTGTCGTCTTTCTTCCCATTTAGAGGGAAGGTTATCTGATCTGTAGCTGCTGAACACATTGATGTTCCTTTCGCAGCTGATACCCAAGTCAGTATAAAATCTAAATTATTTTAAAATTCCTGGTTAACAAAAAGTGAATGTGATGTTCTTTTATGCGTGAGCCATTAAAATAAGGTAGCTTCAGTTAATAATGCTGGTTTATGATAAGGTTTTCTAGCAGAACCTTTTTATGAAACCTTCCTATTCCACCTAAAGAGAAAGCAGATTTCCAGAAGAAACAGGATTTCAGGTAGCTTATTCTCACTTCCCTTACTGACTTCTTAAGCAAGCACTGTGGCTGCAGTTAATGAATTTTCCTGTCCGTGTTTGTACAAGAGATGCCAAACAAACCACAGAAAGGAGACCGGGAGGGACTTTGAGAGAACATCCCGTCTCCATCTCGCTGTCTCAAAGGTCTGGTTATGGAGGAGCAATACCTGGGCCTTCTGGAAGAAGATCCGGGGGGGGAAGTTCCACAATCTGCATTTAATCACCTCTAGCCTTTGCTGTTGCAGGAAGCTGTAGAAAGGTTTTCCTTTTTTCTGTGCTGGCTCTTCCTTTTCATGATTTTCCTCTCCTGGTGGAAACTGTTCCAGTCCTCTGCACATTGAGCTTTTGGTGAATGTTATAGGATGTTTTCTATCAAGACTATTTGAGTTTTACAAGTTTAGGAGAAAGGACTTTAGGGTAGGAAATAATTAGAATTTTGATCCAAATCTGAATCATTAGTTAGTTTCTGGGCTTTGGGAGGGCTGTGTAACACTGTCGTTTCAGGGAAGACCTGACTCAAGGTGAAGATCTTCTGCTACGTCTGGTTGAGCACAGCCAGCTTAATTTCCTGGAGTGGAGAGTGTTTCACTCACAGTCACACCAAGGTGTTCCAGAGGGAAGACAAAACTGACTTATAAAAAACAATGCTGTAACTGAAAACTGTGGTCCATATAAGAAAGCAGACTCAGACAACTTCCACTGAAGAAGTTAGACTGAAAAACCTTAAACCAGCTTCAGGCATTCTGGAGCTGTGTGGTTGATTTGGCAAATTTCTAATGTCAGAAGGACTTTGATTATAAATTGAATAATGTCTCATAATTGTGTGCTTTTTTGCCGTCAGCTGTCGGATGTAATGAAGTGGTTCATGAAACTGTGACAAACTGATTTTAGCAGCAGTACAGTTGTTAAAATTTCTGCAACGCTGATACTTCTTTTAAAAAGGATTTTAAGTGGTAGTCAGGGTAAGGGAAATGGTCAGTGGGCACTGTTAGCATAGAGTTGGAGAAAGTAGGGGTGGACTCTTTGTTCGTCTGTGGCACAGAGTTTAGAGTGACTTTACTTTCTTGGATGTCACGTGGTTGTAATTTATTTTAAGGCTTTTATTTTTAATTTGGGCTGTTCTAGATTGAAGTACCTTATGGCAGATGGGTCACAAAGTAGTAAAAGAATTGAGAAAATTAGTGCAAGTTACAGGACTGGAGTTGGAGGAAAAAGCCATAATTTTTTTCTCGCCTTACATTTTTAAAAATCGGTTCACCAAACTGCAAGAGGGAGGAAATGTGTGGGGACTCTTAATTAAAAAGTTGTTAATGACCTGGCAGAGGAGCAGGAATGTGACACACACAGCACTGGGCAAGAAATGCAGTTTACATGTTTGAACCAAGACAAGCAATGACTGTATAGATCATGGAAACTCAATTCAACACAGAGTCCTTTAGATAAATAGTTTGGCCTTTAGTGTATGGATTAATTATTCATAACTTCCATTTCACTCAGTGTTGTTTTAAACTTCCAAGCTCAGTTTCAGCTGCATTAATTGATAACAATTTGTAAAACTTCACAGCTAAACAGGGATATGAAACTGGACAAGACATTCTCCCGTTTTCTTTCCCTTTCTTTCTTTTCCTTTAAGAAGTTCCCAGATATTATTTAAAGTGGTGTTGAATTACATACAGCAGCTCCTTGCAGATGTGGAGATGGCTGAAGGAATGTATTGGTTGCCCATATTTATATTTTCAACCATGGATGCTGTGAGCAAGGCCATGCCAGTGTATCCCTGAAGTGTGTGGAGATGCAGGGCTTGTTTGATTTGTACATGGTGTAGATGCTTGTGAAATTTATTGCTACTACTTGTGAGAGATTTAATGTGCACTGAGGACTAGTTATATTACCTTTTCTAAAAAGTGGCCTATTTATGGAGACATTTTAATTCAAAGAAGACTGGATTTTTTTTTTATTTTTTAAATTTGAATTAGCAGAGTGATATACATGGAACCGGTTGTTCAGTTTGCCAGGTCTGTTATTTTATTAAGGTTTCCCCTTGCATAGAATATATTAAATGATTTACTACAAATGAAACCAGTCTTTCATCATTACTATTAGTTAGAAAATTTTTAGAAGACATTGTAACCGATAGGAACCAAGAAGTGCCTTTGTAAGTCAGCAATTTGGAAGTTGCAAAGGGTTTTATGTCAGCAGGGGATATTTTTGTTTACTGAGAATGCAGTATTGAATAAAACATTCTGAAGGTTGAATACTCTCAATGTATTTGATAGTGTAAGAAGGGAAATATTACTTTTTTTTTGTTTTTTGTGATGGCTTTGCCTTTTCAACGTTTTCTTGCAGGGAGGAAAGATTTAATACATCTTTTAGTGATGTCCAACTTCTGGAGGTGTAACCAGTGAGATTAGTGTTTCTGCAGAGTTCTGAGGCTAAACTATATGTTTTAGTGTAGGTGTTACTCCTTTTACGTGTTGTTACACGTTTTTCACTTAGTCTGGGTTTAAATGAAGGCCCGTGGTGTCCTGTAAAGTCTTTTGGCATTGTTTGAAGTCACTGTCCCAAACTTCAGTGGTCATCAGATTTGTTTGTCAGTTCCTGATGTTCCTGTACATAATTACACAAGATAACCCAGAGAAACAGATAACTCTTATAGCTCCTTGTTTGCATGACGTGCACAGCAATATTAATGTAGCCTTCCTTTGATTTTCAGATGCGAAATGGTGAGAGCTTGTTGGTTCTGAGAACATATTTAGTTAGGATTAGTGGACTCAGCTGTAATACTGTGCTCACAATTGACGTTTCTGATTAGATGTTGTTTTTGCTGGTTGCTAAATAATCACAGAATCATGGAGTGGTTTGGGTTGGAAAGGACCTTCAAGTTCTTCTCATTCCAACCCCCTGCCATGGGCAGGGACACCTTCCAAGGTGGCCTTGGACACTTCCAGGGATGGGGAATCCCTGGATATGTGTGCTACTGTTTTTCTTTCTTAGATTTTGTACCTCTCTACTCTTGAGAGTTCTTGTTAGTAGTTTTTTTGAGAGAGGACTACTTGGGAGTTATATAGACAGTAAATTACATTACAGCCACTACAGTTTTTGGAAACAGTGTTTGTTGGCTACTAGCTTGCTTAACA